AATAATAGTAATAATAATAATAAATAAATAAATAAATAAAATGATTAATTAATTAAGATAATTAGTTTAAATGTGTGATTAATAAATTAATTAATTTTAATTAAAGTAAATTAATTATATTTATTGGCCTTAAGTTGAGATAATTAAATTTATTTAATTATCTTGATTAGAGGAGGTTAATAAAAGTAATTAATTAATTTTAATTAGTTTTAATTAATGTTGAATCAATCATCTAATTAAGTTAATTATCTTAATTAATTAACTTCAATTCTCTATTTTCTTTAATCTTTTTCTAAAGTCAAAATTATCTTTCTTTATTTCAATTTCACTCAAAACTTTCATGATTAAGCAATTTAGTCCTAGGTTTCAAATCTTTTCAAATCAATCTCTATATTTATGAATTTAATCAAGTCAGTTCTTCATGTTTTGAATTTAATCAAATCAATCCTTCATGTTTTCAAATTTAATCAAATTAATCCCTTTAATTTTTATTTATGCTTATGATGCATACATGTTCTTAATTTTGTCCATTTTAGTCCAAAAAAAAATTAGAAAAAGAAATGTTTCAATTTGGTTTACCTTTTTTCTTAAGTTTTGCCAACTAAGATTTAAGCATAAACATGATGAATAAGTTGAATCAAAACCCCAATTTTAAAATATGCAACCATGTTTAAGCGGAGGATTGTGAGGTGCACGTATATCCTTCCTCACTCCTAACAGAACCCCCGAACCCCAATCTCTGCACAGACCCGTTTTAGGTAACTTGTCCCACCTTATAATTTGGATGAGTGGCGACTCTTTTTCTTATATTTTTCACACTTAACTTAATGTTATTTTGAAATTTTAAGTGTGGTCGTTAACAGAAAGAGCCAGACATAACAACTAAATAAATCAACAAAGATAATGTAACAAAGGAAACCATCCATAGAAGGTAATGAGGTAGGGCCCCACACATTAGAATATATTATTTCTAAAGGTTTATTATTAGAAATAGAAAATTCATCAGAAGGTAATTTATGACTCTTTACACACAAGCAAGACTCATATAAAGAAAATCTAAATCGATCTAAAATAGATAACTTAACATGATGAAAAATTTTATTTAAAGTTTTGGATGAAGGATGACCCAATCTCGCATGCCAATCCATAATAGATGCTTTTTCGCCAACCATTGCCATTGGAACAAAGCATCAAAAGTGATATTTGTGGAATGATAATTTCTATATTGATTTCATGGAAATTTATACATGTATTACAATTCAAGAAGAATGGAAACTAAATTAGTAAATACAAGGTAACTATCCTAATCATTATTGCAATATATAAATCAAATCAAAGATACAATATTGAATGAGAGATCAATCAAAGATGTACTGTTGAATAGAATCAATTTGGCTCAATCAGCAATTGTTTCCTTAATAAGATCATGCCACGAGAAGTTAAGAAATTCACAAAGATTGAGTTAATTCAATAATTAATTTATTAATTATTTTTCTAAATGGTCTATAAATTTTAAAGAATATTTCAAAATAGTATACCATAAAAAACTCCTATTAGTTCTAACAAAAAGTTTTCTTAGAGTTAAAATAGAGTAATCCTTTAAGTTTTGAGAAAATGACACTATAATTTTAATAAAATATGATAACTTAAGGAAGACTTTTATAGAGATAAATCAGTTAGAATTTGTAATGAACTTGAGCAACTAGGTCAATTTGAAAAGAGAAACTTAACAAGCTTAGATCAAGAAGCTCTAAAAGTATTGAAAATACAATAAAAGTTAAAACTCTTAACTGTCTAATAAGGATAAAGAGAGAAAGAATAAATACACTAAAAAAATACTATTAATATACTTTCTTAACATGAGTAATGAACAAATAAACTAGATTAACATGTATTTACTCAATACATTGAGTAAAAATATAAATGGTATAAAACATATAATTATCATTGGTAAAATTCTAGAAATAAAAGCTATTAATGAAAATACTTTAAGGAGAATTAAAAAAATAGGAAAATTCCTTTATCAAGAATTTGAATCTATTAAAGAAAAATAATTAATGTCAAAAATTCTAAAGAATTGAAAGAAATAAAAAAAGAAATAAAGTTTATCAAAGACTCAAAGAATACTCGAATTAAAGATATAGAAATCAAAATAGAAAAAATTCTTAAGATATTAAAAGCAATTGCTAAAAAATTTACAATAAAAACTTAAGATGTATAATAGAATAATCCTACAATTGGAAAGTGATGTAGATAAGAATTTCTATAAGATCTAATCTAAACTCAACTCAAGGATCTATAAAATACTATAATATCAATCTGTAATAGATGAAATATTACAGATAGAAGTGAAGGATTTAAAATAATCACAAAGATTTTCATAAAAAAACCTAAATCAAAGAAAATAACACTTTTTATGTTAAAAAATCAAGAAGAAAAGTTGAAAGAATTCGAACAAAGATTCTTAGAAGAAGCTACAGAAGAATTAGACAATCTATGCAAATAAATTATGATATCTACTAAACAACTAGAAAATATGAAGATGAACACTCAAAGAGAAGGGAAGGAAGAAATTGAAGAAGAGAGTCAAGAAGAAAAAGATTAAAGACAACCTAATATAACTCCAACATAATTCCCAATACAACAAGGGGTAGAATCTAGCACTAGTAAAATTACAGAAGGAATTGAAACCAAATACATGAAATATTATATGATAGAAAGAAATTTGGAAATCAATCTAGAATTGAAACCTCAATTAGAGTCAAAGAACAAATTATCAGTACCAATGGCATTTGACTAGATCTAGACTATGTTATCGATCCAGAGAAAGTCATTTGGCTAGATTTATTGAAGTTATCTTTAGAGGGATGCTTCATAATTGGTTTGTCAGTCTAAATGAAGAAGAAGGTAATACCATCATAAGTGGAAATCCTGCTTTGAAAGAAGTAAATGAAAGCGAAGCAATTTAAGACATAATAACTAGGTTCAAATTAGCTATAAGAAAAGAATTTTTTGGAGAAAATTGGGAAGAAAGGCAAGAAAAAAAAGAAGCCAGAATTGGAAGAATAGTAGTATATAATTTGTAGAATTTAAAATTACGTAATCTTTATAAGTTAGATCAATACATTTGTTTGTTCCAAAAATACTATTATAAAGCCTCAAATCATGGAATGGCTAAAGGTCTTAGAGAATTATTTTTTGGAAAAATCCTTAATCCTTGGGGAATAAAGTTAGTAGAAGCCTATAGAACCTATGTAGAAGATAAAACTAATACATTAGCTCTAAGAATTTGGTTTACAAAAACCAAAATAAATGAGTGGTGTATGGAAACCTATAGCTATAACAAATTAAGAAAGAGTATGAGAAAAGAGTTGTGTTGTCCTAAAAATAGTGATCCAATCAAGTTAGGATGTAGTTATTCAAACTATAAGAAGAGAAACAAAAGATTTAAAATTAAAAGAAGTAATAAACAAAGGTTTAATAAAAATAAATATTTTGGAAAGAAAAAGAGGTATTTTAAGAAAACAAAAGCACTAAGAAAATATAAAAAGAATTCTAAGAAATATACATGCTAGTTATGTAAAGAAGAATGATACTATGCAAATGTATGTCCTAAAGATACAAAAGAAAAAGTATTAAAAATTTATGAAGAAGAGATGAGCAAAATAGAGACCAGCTCTATACATAGTGATGAAACTATATATGAAGTGGAAAGTTTAGGCACTTCCAACAACTATGAATTTGAATATTGAGGAGGGAGAAGCTTATTCTAAAGAATATGAAGGATATGGAGAATACAACCAAGTACCTGTATTTGACAAAAGTAAGTGTAAAAGAATTAGACAAAAAGGAACGGACCTTGCATTAGGAAAAAAATTCAAGTCAAATTCCTTTATAAATAATCCTTTTAACAGGAAAGATATAGTTTATTATGGAATATTCACTAAAGAATATAGCATTCATATCAAGATTAAAACAGGAATAATAAATATATCTCTGCTCATCCAAGGAGAAATAGAAAGTAAATTGTCAAAAATTAAAGAATATGATAGATCAATGATAGGATTTATCCATATAAGAGGAATTCAAATCCTTATTAATGCTCATTTAGAGAAGTTACAGATACCACAATAAAGCTAGCCTTAATAGATAATAGAATTAACGATAGAAATTATACTTTCTTAGGATTAGTACAA